ATGTAGGACAAAGGTCAGTTTCCTTTTTGCCTCTGTCTCAGTAATAAGTGGAATAAGCGGAGCCGGGCTCGGTGGCTCAGCCTGCAATTCCAGCACTTTGGGAGGTGAGGCAAGTGGATTGCCTGAGCCCCTGGGTTCAAGACCAGCCCAGCCAACTTGGCCAGACCTCGTCTCTACAATAAATTTTTAAAAAATTAGCAGGGCATGGTAGAGCATACCTGTAGTTCTGGCTACTTGGAAGGCTGAGGCAGAAGGATCACTGGAGTCCAGCAGGTTGACACTGGGGTGGCCGTGAGCGTGCCACTGCACGCCAACCTGGGTGATAGAGTAAGACTCCGACTCAAAAAATAAAAAATAAAAATAAATAAATAAGTGGGATAAGCTTGGCACTAATGGCCTTGTCCAAGTCAATGATAAACATGTTTAACAGCACAAGGCTTAGGTAAAGCCTCAATCTGCAACACCAGAAATTCTCACGAGTTCAGTTGTTCAACCAGGTAAGAATCTAACCATAGTCAAAAGTGGACACCTGATAATGGCAGGAGCCAAGCTCTCAATCTAGGCAGTGAACATGTGGAAGGAAACCTTCGTCAGACTGTATGATGTAGTTCCACTAAAGACTGAGCACCATGGTGTTGTGAAATACTGGAACCCAGCATTTCGATGTCTATCCACAACTTGGTTACAAAGCCATCAGACCATGGGTCCCTTCCCTGGCTCTGCAGAGGCACACTTCCTGAGGAGCAGATTTACTCCTTAGGGAATTCAAGACCCTCCTTATTAAAGATGGATTTTTTTTTGAGTTGGAATCTCACTCTGTTGCCCAGGCTGAAGTGCGGTGGCACACTCATGGCCACCACAGCCTCGACCTCCTAGGCTCAGTTGATCCCTCTTCCAAGTAACTGGAACTACAGGCATGTGCCACCACACCTGGTTAATTTTTTGACTTATTGTAGAGATGAGGGCTCATCAACTTTCCCAGGCTGGTCTCAAACTTGTGGGTTCAGGCAATATTCTCACCTCAGCCTCACAAAGTGCTGGGATTATAGACATGAGCCACCGTGCCTGGCTAAAATGGATTATTTTATAGCAAAAGAGCTCTGAGAACCATGGGTCCCTTCATGGAATATGAGAAGTTGGACTGAAATCTGCCAAAAGACAAAACAGCTCCCAGTTTTCTTTCTTAGCTGACATGGTCTTTCGTTAAGGTGGACGGACACCTCATACCCATCTAACGTATAATTCATTCCCTACAAGACTCCATCAAGCACATATTCCCAAGCATCCACACCAAGCATCAGAGCGTCACCAGCCTTCAGCTGCCCTGGGCAGGGCGGGACAGCCACACACCAGGTTCTGGCTCTGGTTTTGGCTTGTACTTTGAGAACCCCTTCTCTCCATGCCCTCCCACCTGCTGTTATCATAAAACTTTCTGAACTGATTATGAAAATGGCAGTGAACCGGGGCACAGGCAGGCTGGAGTGAACTCCAGCTGAATTGCCGCTCCTCCATTGAGATGCTGTTATAACACTCTCTCTTTTTGATTGACAGGTATTCATGGAACTCTGACCTCACTGGAGGCACAGCACAGCGCCTGGTGCAGAGGTTGCAGGGGGAACATACCTGGCAGCTGCGGGGAGGGTGGGGGTGATGGGGATGGGTATTTCTGCAGTCAGCCTTGCCTTGCTCGCCTGCCTGCCTCTGACTGTGTCCATAGCCTTCACTGGCAGAGAGCAGCACACACAGACGTGCACAAGAGACACCTCAGGCTGAAGAAGGTGTAGCCTCAGACAGGTGTGCTGGGGAGGGGAGGTGAGTGTCATATCTGAGTGGGAGGGATCGAGGAATTCTCTCTCTGGAGCAGGAATAAGAGCTCAGGAGGAAGCATATGGCGAGGTGTGAACTGGGCCCTGAAGAAAGGCCAGGAATTGTAGATAAAGATTGGCCAACAGCACACACATCACACATGGTGCATCTGCTTCATCCTCACTTCGTAGATGAGGAAACAGGGTTAGGGAGCTGAAGGGCAACGGCTTTCCAGGCAGAGACCCATCACCTTGGCACAGGAGTCAGAGAAGCCTCGAGGGCAGATGGGTGAGGCCACCTTGCGGCCTATCTCTCCGGTCACATCCCTACCATGCTGGCTTCCTCTCCCGAATCCTATGCTCTTATTCTCTCAGCTCCCTCTTTTGTTTGAGTTCACTCCAGCCTGCCTGTGCTCGTTTTCCTGATGGTTTGAAGGCAATATTTCTTCTCCTGGATTCTAGTCACTCACATCCATTTTCTTTAGACTTTCAGCAGTCAGTAGACCTCCGGCCCTCTAGTGACTTCACATAAGTGTCAGCGTTTGACCATCACCTGCCACAGCAAAGCAGAGGCCCAGGGCACACACTCCTGAATACTGGCTGAAACAACCTACTCTTTTGCAAGAATGGATTAGGAGCTAAATCCTCAGAGACAAGATGCTCATGCTTCATGAAGAGCTCAGACATCATCTTTCTCCATCTATAGAGATGCAGAACTTAAATATGGAATGTAGAAGTTCAATGTTTATGTACGAGCATAAGAATTAGGAGTTGTGGTCAGAGTCTCCACAGGCCTTGTCTCATCCAAAGATCTAAATGTCTTTAACCAAATATGCAGAAAAGAGTGAAGTACTAGTTAATTGTGTCATCATAACTTAAGCATGCTATACCTACCTGTCAATTGTAACTGTAAACTTGTATCTATTGCTTTAGTAAAATCCAAAATAGATAATCCAAAGAACAAAGAACATCTCTTGCTGGTTATTGCTAGAGTCAGAGTTATACATTGTTTTTTGTATTCCAGACTTCATGTGGTTTTGTCTAGTAGATAAAATAGAAGCTTAACTAAGGTAACTTTTTAAAAAAAGGTTTGGCTGGTAGTTTATCTTAACGTCAATTCCACACAAACATGCTTGTGAACACATCACACTACCACTTCCCAGGTGACTACTGATTCAGAACTTTCTTTTCACTATCACTCTTGGAAGTATTCCCTAAGATTTTTATAGGAGATGCAACTCCAGCACGGTGAACACAGTAGCTATAGTACAGCTTCTGAAGTCAGACCAGGTCTGGGACCTAACCTCACAGGCAATTCTCTCATGTGTTAAACAGAGAAAACGGCATCCACCTCAGACACTAAAGGAGAAAATGCACCGAGAACAGAGTACATTCTGTAAGTTCAGGCTACCAGGAAGTGCTCAATGTTAACTGGCATGAAGCAGGAATGGCAAGTCAAGTTGTTGTCTGGCTCATTTTGAGCAGCAGGTGTCACTCTCACCCCATGTGCTTAAAGGGAGTCCCTTTCATTGCTAATGCTGGGCATACCACGCCTTTAGGAAGCAAAATGTAGATGAAGGAATTCTCATACGTGTCTTGTAACTAAACAAGACATAAAAACAGCACATTTTAATTTACCCATTAATGTAATTAGTATATCCATTCTCTAAAACATTTGTGTTGAGAACGTTCAATATTCATCTGTTTGAAACTATGTATTGTTAACCAGTCATCCCAGTGATACAGGACACTAACATCCCTCCAACCTAGCTATAGTGCAGTGGCACTCCAGCATCGTCCTGCTGGGCTCTGGTGGTCCTTCCATCTAAGCCTTCCTAGTAGCCAGAACTACAGGCATGCGCTACCACACCCAGCTAATTTTTATTTACTGTAGAGACGAGGTCTCGCCAAGTTGCCCAGGTGGGTCTTGAACCCATGGGCTCAGGCAATCCACTTGCCTCAGCCTCCCAAGGTGCAGGATTACAGGCTGAGCCACCAAGCCCCACTGGCATTTAACGTTCTATTCTTAGTTTACTAAACTCAACATAATGTCCTTCAGTTCCATCCGTGTTGCTGCAAGAGACAGGATTTTTTAATGACTAAATAGTATTCCGTTGTGCATATATACCACATTTTCTTTTCCTGCTCATGAGTGGACACTTAGGTTATCTTAGCTATAGTGAAAAATGCTGCAATAAACACGGGAGTGGAGTGGGGGTTGCTGCTATCTCTTCAACATACTGACTTCATTTTCATGGCTAATGCCCAGTGGTGGGATGACTGGTCATAGGGTAACACTATTCATAGTAACCAGCACAGTGCTAACTGCAGCTGTTTCAGAATTAAAAGCTAAAAAGTTTTCTCACAGACACATACCCCAGGGCAAGGTTGGGGGGTGGGAGGGTGGGGAGGAATAGGCATATGAACCACATATAAGTTATAAAATATAGTCTACAAAGTATTCTCAGCTGTAACGTTTAAATCCCTTATTTGGACCTTACTGTATACGTTTCCAAAAAAAGAAAGTAAGTTACCAAAAAATGACTCCACAGTTACAAATAAATTACCACCATATACTAAGAATTACCAACTCTTGATTTGTGTTAGAATCTAGGCACTTGGGATTCTATCAGTCCTACATGTAGCTCTGTTCTTTGAAAACATACATTTCGAAGTATAACCAAAAGCGGCTTCTACATTCACCACTTCACAAGGTCAGCGAGATCCCACAACAGATAAGCCGGGCCTATGCTGGTGCTGCTGGGAAACAGTTTAGCAAATAAAGCACGTAAAAGAAAACCATCAGGGCCCAGTGGCTCAGGCTGTAATCTCGTGCTTTGGGAGGCTGAGGTGAGTGGATTGCCTGAGCCTGCGGGTTCGAGACCCGCCTGGGCAACTTGGCGAGACCTTCTCTCTAAAATAAATCAAAAATTAGCTGGGTGTGGTAGTGCGTGCCTATAATTCCAGCTACTTGGAAGGCTGAGGAGGATCACCGGAGCCCAGCAGGTCGAGACTGCAGTGGCCGGAAGTGTGCCACTACACTCCAGTCTGGGTGACAGAGTGAGACTCCAACTGGAAAAAAAAAGAAAAAAAAGAAAAAAATCCTTTTATTATAAAACTTAATAATTTAATAATCTCTGTACTTTTCCTTTTAAGAATGGATAACAATTAATGTTCAAAACTGAAAACCAGACAATCAGACCAAAAAAATCACATTTATTTCAATAGCTGAAAGTGCAAATACAGCAAGTGAGTTCACAAAGTTCCAAGATACAGTTTGAAGTACAAGGAAATCTTGATACACATAAGGAAAGGGTAAACAGCTGAAATAAAGCTCCTCAATTTTTAAAAATATTTCAAGTACCTTGAGAAACCTTGATGCTAAAATATTCCACTCACATCAATTCAGAAATGCTTTAATCCTAGATGCCAGTAGTTCATTACAATCAAAAAGGATTCTTCAAAGAAAGAATCACCTCACACTGTCCAGCTCCAGACAAGAGTGGCAGTCCTTGCGGTGGCTGTCCGACTTGGCTTCGGTCACTCGCTGCATCAGCTAACCACAACATTTTGATTTTTAGGCAAATTCTAAAAAGTGTTTAAAGTTACATATCAGTGTAACACCACTCTTAAGACTTTTCTGAAATGACCAGTATATACCCAAAATGTTTAAAGGCCAATGCCAACTTCAGGCCTATGGTATTACTGAGGCAAACGACGCCGATTAATACTTCTTCCATTATTCAAAACCTTTCTTTAAGCTTAGCAACATGGCCTTTAAAACTTCCTCATGAAAACTGCACTTAAATATACACTGATTTATCTCTACATATACAGAACTTGTATGCAGAGTAGAGAAAGTTCCCACTAGGAAGGTAATTAGAAACTGTTAATGTTCTTTGTATCACTTAGTAGCCAATAGACCTGCTTATTCTGCTCCCCAGAAGCAATGTTAGCTACTAGTTCAGGAAGGTTGACATCAGATATTTATTCAGTCTTTTTCTCTGACTTCTTCATCCTTTCATTATAGGCATGAAACTGAGAGTCTGTTCCGAAGATTCTGTCCCACCACGTGAATGTCGATGCGTAGTTCCCTATGAAGTTCATATGGTGGAAATCATGATGCCGAGAGCCCGCGTAGAAAGGGATAAGGTTTAAGGGGTTGAGAGGAATATCGTACCCACTGAAAGAAAAATGACGGAGATTAGTAAGGAAATAGATGCTTCTCAAATTACCGGCATTTTATTAATAGTCATGTGCTCCTTAACCAAATCAAATAACATTCCAGACTGCCTAAAACACTTCATTTCCAAGATGTGTACAAAAGGCAAAAAAAGAAAAGGGTGCATATTCTAGAAACCACACTAAGAAAAAAAAAAACCTTAAAAGAGCTATGAAAATTATGTATCAGGGAATGCAAGAGAAAGGTTATAGCAATGAATCTTTAGACAGATTTTTCAAGAATTAATTTTCTCTTGTGTTTCTTAATTTTCTCTTGTGTTTTAGAGCCTTTTCATCTAAGTCAGTAACATTTGTAAATAACACCCATAATACTAAAAATGTATTTTAGGAAAAGTCACATAAAGTTAGAAGCAAACATTAAGAGGTTGAGCCCAAAAAGCCCTGTTGGGCAACTTTCACTTTTTTAAGCAGTGACAAGTTGGAAATAGAAATACCACAATTATTCGAAGTACCAGTGTGCTTTTCTAAAGTTGGGAGAGCATGAGTGATATCAAAGAAGAGTCCCATTTAAAGTGTCCTCCTAGCCGGGCTCGGTGGCTCAGCCTATAATCCCGTGCCTTTGTGAGGCTGAGGTGAGTGCATTGCCTGAGCCCGCAGGTTAGAGACCCGCCTGGGCAGCGAGACCTCATCTCTACAATAAATCAAAAAATCAGCCAGGCATGGTAGCGCATGCCTGTAATTCCGGCTACCGGAAGGCTGAGGCGGAAGGATCACTGGAGCCTAGCAGGTCAAGGCTGCGGTGGGCGACAGAGTGAGACTCCAACTCAAAAAATAAAAAAATAAATAAAGTGTCCTCCTTTATTTCTCAATACATATCTATAAAAACAGATACCCGCAGCTACACTGGTATTCAAAGGGCTTGGAGGAAGGGAGAAAGAAACAATAGAAAAGAATGAAAGGGATGTCACTTACACTTTTTCTACAGAAGAATATTATCTGCTTAGGACTAGAAGCATTAAGTTTGTTATTTTGGTAGTTTAAAAATGATTCTTAGAATTAGACATTCTGTATTCATGGGTACAGTGATAAGTCCCAAGTCAAAATGCAATGAACATAAAATTTTTAAATAGTGGAAATTTAGGATAAGGATTTAAGAAGGCATTTAATATAATTTACCATGAAATGTCATCCAATCAACATAAAGGAAGTGCTGGAACTATGTACATATTACAAGCAGTACTTGTGTCTTATAAGTGCTTTCATCAATGCCAGTCAATAGGGACTAGAAATAGTCTTATTCAGTGAGGGCTGATGTTTCAATATTTTAAAAAATGAGTTACTCTATATTATCTGAACCAATTACATTACATTATTATATTAGTATCCATTTACAGTATTCTCCTGTTTTCTTAAAAATAATAACAGACTGGCCTATGGTGGCTCATGCCTAAAATTCCAGCACTTTGGGAGGCTGAGGCAGAAGAACTACTTGAGCCCTACCTGGGCAACATAGCAATACCTCGTCTCTACATAGATAAAAAAATTAGCCAGGTGTGGTGGCGCATGCCTGTAGTTTCAGCTCCTTAGGAGACTGCGAAGGAAGGATCGCCTGAGCCCAGGAGGTCAAGATTGCGGTGAGGTGTGACGACCATGCCACTGCACTCCAGTCTGAGCAACAGAGTGAGACCTCAATTCAAAAAACAAACATGAAAAAGACTAATTTCTCCTATCAATCTACTTAGAAATACAGCTAGGCCAGGCTCAGTGGCTCAGCCTGCAATCCTAGCACTTTGAGAGGCCAAGGCGACCGGCCCAGGCAACTTGGCGAGACTTCATCTGCACAATAAATAAAATAATTAACCAGGCGCGGTAGCACGCGCCTGTAGTTCCAACTACTTGGAAGGCTGAAGTGGAAGGATCACCAGAGCCCAGCAGGTAGACGCTGAGGTGGCCGTGAGTGTGCCACTGCACTTCAGCCTGGATGACAGAGTGAGACTCCAACTCAAAAAAAAGAGAAAGAAACACAGATAATCTTATGATCACATACATAAAGATACTTTATGATACTTGGACAGAAACTATCACTCACCTATGGACATCAATAGTTTCTATCAAACGAACAGCCACCCATGCCCAAAGAAGAATCATATGATCGCACAGAAGTAGGATTCCAATGAAAAATCCAGTTCCAAGAATTAAAGTTTCCAAAGGATGTGCATACTCAGCTTCCATTCCGAAGGGAGCCTAAAACAAGCAGGTAAGAATTCCTCAGCATATTGTGATGGTCATATGTACTGTCATTGGCTAGGCTATAATGCCCAATTTCTGGTAAGACATGTCTAGATGTTGCTGTGAAGGTATTTTTAGATGTGGTTAACATTTAAATCAGTGAACTTTAAGGAGACCACCCATTGTAAAGAGGATGGGCTCCAAACAGTTTAAAGGCCTCAAGGGCAAGACTAGGGTCCTGAAGGAGAACTCTCAAGACTGCAACAGAGAAACCTGCTTAAGCTTCTGGCTTCTGCTCTGTGCAATCCGACCCAAGACTGCAACAGTCCTACCTGCATGCCCAACCTGCAGCCTATCCTACAGACCACAGACCCACAACAACAGCATGAGGCAACTTCTTAAAACAAAGCTCCCTCTCAAGGAATATATGTACCCTATTTATTCTGCTTCTCTAGAGAATTTGAGTAATATACATATTTTAAAATACATATATATATACAATTTTTAAATAGTGGAAATTTAAGATAAAAATTTAAGAAGTCATTTAATATAATTTATCACAAAATGTCATTCAATCAACATAAAGGCAGCATAACTATGTATAGCCGGGCTCGGTGGCTCAGCCTGTAATCCCGCACCTTTGGGAGGCTGAGGTGAGTGGATTGCCTGAGCCCGCGGGTTCGAGACCCGCCTGGGCAGTGAGACCTCATCTCTACAATAAATCAAAAAATCAGCCGGGCATGGTAGCGCATGCCTGTAATTCCGGCTACTTGGAAGGCTGAGGCAGAAGGATTGCCGGAGCACAGCAGGTCAAGGCTGCGGTGGCCGGGAGCGGCCACTGCACTCCAGTCTGGGCGACAGAGCGAGACTCCAACTCAAAAAAAAAAAAAGAATTACGTACATATTACAAGCAGTACTTGTGTCTTATAAGTGCTTTCATCAATGCCTATATACATATTCTACTTATACAGTTTTACAAAATTTTATATATATTCTACATATAGTTTTACAAAATTTTATATATATAATCTACTTATACACATAGTTTTACAAAATTATATTGTTTCTATATGTCATGATAATATATCTAGCCACACATAATATATATAATAGTAGCAATTCTCAATAAAAGTGCTTTTGTTTCTACCAAACAAAAAGGTTCAGGAGAACAAAAATCTTAACTGTCTTTGATAGTTTAAGATAAAGGCATTAAATAACTGACTTGAACTCTGAATTTGATTTATGTATTTATATCTGCTTTCCCAAGAAAGGAATGCTTGATTTAGCACGCCATATCATCACGATCAAGGCAGAACATTCTGAGGTAGCTAGTTTGACAAAGCTACATCAAAGCAGTTCCGATAAAAACCACTCTTTTTGTGAACGTTAACAATGGGATAAAAATGGGCTAAAACTAAGTAAAAAAAAAAAACAACCTAAGTCAGTAATTGTTTTAGAAGTATCATAGGTTGACTATCTTCGGGCAGTTACGATTATGGCAGCCACTATCATGCTACAGGTATCTAGCTCTCTGGCCATAAGGATGAGAGTCTCATCTATTTCATGTAATAGTTTTCTTTTGGGTTTCAATTTACCATGAAATTAAAATGCTGCTGAAAATTTGTAGAACTGGTTTGTGTGTGTTATATGTGTTGTTTTTTGATGATGATGCCAAAGAAAAAGAAAACGCAAACATCAGTTTTAGAAGAAAAAAAAATTAAATGTAAAAAAAGAAAAATGCTCAGGCAATTAAAAAAAGACATTTTGCCTATAACAGAAAGTATTAAATATAATTCTAACATACCTGAAACTCATGATGCACTTTGTGAATATATTTATATATTCTTTTGTGGTGTAAAAGTCTATGCAGAAAATAGTGCCAGGTATCCTCAATGACTGCACAGCCAAAGCACCTTGCCAAGAGCATACACCTTTAAGATAAAAACGCTATCATGTGTAGGACATAATTTTTACTTGAACAACCTAGTCTTTTACTTGGGACTACTGCTTGAGATATTACATAAAACCAAATACCCACTTACCAATCTAACCTAACTGGATACATGATTAACAAATTCTCAAAACTGCTATGTACAGTTACATAATATAACATGAAATAAGGTTCAAGAGATTGACTGCTGTATCAATTCCATTTCATTCTGACAAAAACCCACAGGTACAAAGTCAAAGTTAAGAAACAAAATCCAAAGCCCCAGAAAAATAATAATATTGATGAAGGACTTGAACTAAATTAGTTATAGTAATAGTAAAATAATCATTTTTTTCTACCAGAAGACATAATTTAGATGCAATGGGCAAAAACAATTTCTATACAAATACACACAAACACAGAAACCCTTTTATATGTTGAATATATATAACATAGAAAAAAGCACAAAATACATCCCTTGGCATCTGTGGGGGAGTAGGTTCCAGGAACTCCCTTGGATACCAAAGTCCAAGGATGCTCAAATCCTCAGTATATAATGGTGCAGTATTTGTCCATAACCTACACACATCCTCCCATATACTTTAAATCATCCCTAGGTTACTTATAATACCCAAAACAACAGAAATGTTATGTAAATAGTTGTTATACCATACTGTAGCTGTTCAGTACAGATGCAGTTTTTTTCCTTGAATATTTTCTACCCACAGTTGGTTGATGCAAAAGGCTGACTGTATCTATATACTGCTATATTTGTATTCAAGTATGTCAGACAGGTGAAATCAAATATTATTTGAACATAATTACTTGTAGTCAGATTATACAATAAAATAAAAAATTGTGCCCACACACACACACACACACACACACACACACACACACACACACACACACAATCATGCATCACATACAGATGCTTAAGTCAAGGATGGGCTGCCAATACAACAGTGGTCTCCTAAGACTTTAATACCATATTTTTACTGTCTCTTTTCTATGTTTAGATATATAAATACTTAGTACTATTTAGTACTCAAGACAGTAGCATGCTGTACAAATATGTAGACCGGGAACAACAGGCCATACCACATAGCCCATTCCACATAATACCCATCACATACGGAATGTAGTAGGCTACAACATCTGCGATTGGGTAAGTGCATTCTGCAGCGTTTGCCTAACTTGCCTAATGACCCATTTCTCAAAAGGCATCCCTGTGAAATGATACATATGCACATACAAATATATATGTTTTTGTTTATATGGACACAATTTTTAAAAACCTCACAGATGAGTCTCACTTTCATTCATTTTAGACTTAAAATGCAACACATTTTTTTCTTAAGCACATATATCTGTATATAATCACATAAAGTATGTTATGGAAACTTCTGATACTAGAAACACACCTTCCAATAAAACATTACACCAAAATATAGAAAGACATAAAAATGGTAACATTTTAAATGTCTATTATGGTTTGTTTTTCTACTATTTATTTACTTCCAAAGTTTAGAACAAACATTAACCAAAACGAGGAAAAAAGATATACATTAAGTATAATTTAATTGAATGATAAACCACAACTGAGTCTAAAAATCAAGTATTTGTCTACATACCATCTTGGCATTCTTTCCCAATCATAAGGAATATTGAAATACTCTGTAAAATAATAGGTTCCACAAATCAAAGGCAGCTGGATACAGAAGTGATTAAAGAGAAGTACTTTAAAACATTTCCACTGGTTTTCCAGTGTTTCTGTTTTATCCTGTGGAGGAAAATCACAATATTTAACATTAGCCACTGCTGTAGTAGTTTAACTTGACAACCAAAAGTGAATTTCTGCTTTTTTCTCCAGTGTTTATATTGGACCACAATTCTATATCAGTTATGCAATTTCACGTTATGAGTAAATAAGAGTCAGGAATCCTGGCCTTCTAACTTCTTGACAATTACTATCACTACTTTATTTTTATTTTATTTTATTTTATTTTTTGAGTTGGAGTCTCACTCGGTCACCCAGACTGGAGTGCAGTGGCCGCTCCCAGCCACCGCAGCCTCACCTGCTGGGGTCCGGCGATCCTTCCACCTCAGCCTTCCAAGACTACTTTATTTTTAAATTTTAGAATCATGGGGCACATTTTATTTTTAAATTTTAGAATCATGGGGTACATGTGAGGATCTGTTGCACAGACACACTGTGTGAAGGTGAGGTTTGGGCTTCTGCCGAGACCACTCCCCTACCCACAACAAATATGGTACCCAACAAGTGGTCTTGTATCCTTTAGCCCTCCTCCTTCAGCAGTGACCATATCTGCTGTTCCCATCTTTGTGCCCATGTGTGCCCAATATTTAGTGCCCACTTATGAGTGAGAACATGTGGTATTCAGTTTTTTGTTTCTTAACTACCACTACCATACATAGGTAAAGCAATCATTCAGACATATCCAGTCTTAATCTCAAACAAACTAAAGAAACACTACAGACTAACTCTCCAGTCTTTGCCACCACAGATCATTCACTTTTACCAGAAGCTTCAGAGAAGAAATGTGCTGAGGGCAGCCACCCTGCCCAGGATCACAGAGGCAGTCATATGAGGAACTTGGGCTAACTAAAATCTAGGTCTCTAGATCCAGTCCTGTTCTTGAAATCATTCGACAAAAGACTTATCTTCCTGACCAAAGGGGGGAAATCACTGACCTGAGAACTGACCCCAAAACCCATGCTCTAACACCAAGGCTGCCGCTGATCCATCAACTAGCTCTGTGACACTCACAATTCCTCTTCTTAACAATGGAATGAGAGCACTTGACAAAATAATTTGCAACTGTCTTGTATTTCTTTTTTTTTTTTAGATTGGAAAATACCGTTTATTTAAGAAGTAAACTAGAGGCAGATTTTCTTTGAAAAACTTGCCCATGGCAGGTCTTTCTGCCATGAAGCTTTCTTTTTCTCTTCTGTCTCTAATAAACTTTGTTTGGGATTTTTAAAAAAGAGTAAATGAGAGAGAGAGAGAGAGAGAGAGAGAGAGAGAGAGAGAGAGAGAGAGAAAGAGAGAGAGGAGATTTACCTCCTCAAGGTAGTGGAGGGAGCAGAGGCTAAAAAACATGGTGACCGTGGCTCCTCAGACCATGGCTTAGCAAAGCTATGGCCAACTGTCTCGTATTTCTGCTCTATATGGTCTAACCCCAGTCCTCCAAACCTCCAGCCTGTGACTAGGGACTAAATAAATAGAAGATTTATTTATTTATTTAGGCTTGGGTTGACAATGACACTGTTTCCCATGGAAACTGTTCAAAAGATTTTAACTTCCTGGTTAGAATCTGACATCCACATAGCTACAGAAAATACCAAGTTTAATGAACAATAACTAATAAAATCATTTGCTTTACTGTTTAGAATGTACTTAAGTTAGCTAAAAAGACAGTCAAGCAATTTATGCCAAGTACAATATCAAATGTTACCATATTTCACTTCGCTCTGTAGAACTGCAGAAGGAATACCATAGAACATGGCCATAGACTTCAGAAATAATGTTTCTAACACATATATCTTTAAGGAAAAATTTTTGAAGAGCTATTCAAATGTAGGGTTTTTTGAAAGAAATAGATCCCACAAAGTCTACTTTCCTTCTTCGTTGCTATAAAACTCTCCCACCTGGCAAGCACGTGCTGTAACTATCAAGTCACTGATTCTGCTTGAGAGCAGATGTCTCCATCACTACATCACCAGGAGGCATTTTTGTTGTCGTTGTAATTTTTAAAATAAAAAATGTATTGTACATGTTAAATATACTTCTCAGCTGTTTTCTCTTAGAATTCCTAAGTACATAGCAACTGATATTCTCAGTGTTCATGAGGGTTTCTGCCTTCAAGATGCATGAACCTATAATTAACTTGTATTGTTTTTATGGTTTCTTTTCATCTTTTAAATTGTGAAACTTGCACTGATTTGACATCTTCATTCATTTTGTATCAAAAAAACCCAAAGCATGGGCTTCAAGGGAAAACATGCTAAGTATAGATTCTCATACTCCCCAGCTTCTCAGTCTGTTTATGGATAACTAGATTACTGCGGGTCCTTTTCTTTTTTCTTTTGCCACATTGTATTTTAAAGCTGTTCATATATTCTTGATCGAAAAAGCTCTCTCTCTAGAAAGGTGGCCTCTGACGCATGAGTCAGCTGCAGAGGGCAGTGAAGAAGACCAGCCATGCAAGGAATCAGTCCCATAAATAAATCAATGGGAGACACACGACAGCCAGAATCACCCCAAAGACGCATCAGAACTTAGACATCTATACCAAATTTTGCCTTCCAAAGGAGAGACTTTTATGAAAAATACTTTGGAACTTGTGCAACCTTAACCGAGGGTAACAGGATACTAACAAAAAGGGTCATATCCCTTTTTATTCCCTCCCCTTCCTCTTTTGGCCTGGAGTCCACAGCCACCTGATCCCTGCATCATTCCCAGAGGATTAATGTCAAAACTTGCTTCAAGTGAGGCTCACTGGGAGAGGCTATGCGTTTACAGATTGACAGGAGGGAGGTGCACACTGACTACCTGCCTGACGTGTGCAGTAATCCTTCAGAAGCCATGGGGGGACTGGCTCCAGGACTGTTGCAGACACCAAAATCTGAGGATGTTCAATTCCCTGATACAGCATGGTGCAGTATCTGCATGGGAACACTGCATACCCTCCCTATACTTCAAGTCAGCTCTAGATATATAATATATAATATATTACATATTATATAATATAGAGATATATATTATATATAAAATATAACATGCATGCTATGAAGATAGTTGCTATACCATATTCTTTTGGGAATATGACAAGAAAAAAGTTTGTACAAGTTCAGTACAGATGCAAATTTTTTCTGAATATCTTCAATCTGTGGTTGGTCAGCGTGATCCACAGGTACAGAGGGCCAATGGTACTAAGTGGTGGCTTTCCACAGATGAGCACTCTCAATATTGACACTGTGTGGTCTGAGGTTTTAGTCTGACACAACTTGTAGCAAAGTAAACAGTAAGTCTTAGAAACTATCCTGGGTTTACCAACTGCTGATAGGCCATCTGTCTCTCTAACAAGACTCCAGATACTCCCTGGAAACAGTGTTGAACTCACGGCCTACATATTAGTAGAATTCACCTTGTCATGTACATAGAAAGCTCTCAAGAGACATTTAGTGCAATGAAGCAAATTTCCAGTCCCTCATACTCACCTTCTGAATTTTATACTTCTTCATGTAAGGTATAAATTGAAATAAAAATCCAGGTAAAGCGAACAGGAAATACAGGGCTTCGTGAACGATGAGGGAGCCCCACGTCGCAATCTGGAACTTTGTGTAATTATTCAGCATATAGTTCCAAGCATTCTTAAACGGTTCCTGCAGAGGATTGGCAGGTAACAGCGAGTCCACATACTCCACAGCCAAGGATGCAGAGCTGAAGATGTCAACACTCTCGTTGGCTGCCATCTTGCCAGTGTTGGCAGGAGCCTCGATTCTGTAAAACAAACACATGAGCTGAACGGTGAGCCGCCAAAACAACAGCTCTAAAAATGTATCTTCTGATCTTTTGTAAAGTGATAATTTCTAAAGGAATACCAGCACTTCAGGTTCTACATGATTTTTTAAAAATCTACTGAATATTATCACAACTGCCATTTAAAAACCACATTTTATTTTCAAGAGCAGCACCTAAAAGAACAGTGAAAAATACATGCCAAGCTACCTTGAAAGAGTTTTTTGGTGTGGTCCTCATGGAAAAACTTCTAATTTAAATGTATCACTCAGAGCCAAAAAATCTCTAAGGAAAAATCCTGCCAAATATGATGACACAAAAATCAAATACTTTGGGGAATAAAAAGAGTCATAAACAAAGTCAGAGCTAAACAACAAACTAGCAAAATTATGTCCAACACTGTATGACAAAGGGCTACAGAATATGTTGTACAGAATATGCTATACAGAGTAGACTGAAAAAACCCAGTAGGTTTTTATGGAAAGGTCATTCACAAGCAGTATACGGAAAAATAAAGGCAAACAGTCACTATACAAGTAAGGATCTCAACTTCATTCAAGTGGGGAAATGTACCCTGAAACACATACTTTTGGCCTGGGTAGCAAATCTTTAAAAGTGTAATAGTGTCCAGTGCTGGTAAGGGTGTGAGGACACAGGCATCACCATACACCATTGGTGGGTGTTAAATTAATTGTCTTTTAAGGGAAAATTAGCAACATCTATCATAATTCAAATGAATACATCCTTTACTCAACCCAGCAAAAAAAAAAGAAAGAAAAAAGAAAAGAAAAACACAAATAAGTCTATCAACAAGGATGAGTTAGATAAGTTCTGTCAAGTCCTTCCACAATTACACAGCCATTTAAAAGAATGAGAAACCTCCACATATTCTACAAAGACAGATGTCTGAGACAGTGTTAATCACCATAACAAGCCCGGAATAATATGTACAGCCAGAGTGCACTAACATTATGTGAAGAGGATCTGAGTTTTATCTATGCACTTTTAAGCGTAGGTACACAGAGACACAACCCAACAGAAAACATGCACAATTTAGCGCAGGGACCGCTCGGAAGAGGCGTGGAGGAGGGTGCGTGTTGAGAGGAGGACTCCTACTTTCCACTGCACCCTTCTGTGCAACTGAAATGCTTAAAGAGAGCACATTCTACTTATACAACAAATACGCTTAGTAATATGCCGCTAATCAGAAATAGAGAAACCATAAAGAATGTCACTTTCCTAAATGTGTTCACTGCTGTCTCTAATTTAGCAATCATGATGGCCCACTCCAAAGTGAGTGTTTTAAAGCCTTTGTAGTCTTACCAGTGCTTACTGAGCTCCTCCTTCAACACCCTGAACTTCCAGCCCTCTCGCTCTATCCTGCTCTTCCTCAGTAACTTCGCCACAGCGAGGGAGTGCCCCAGTCTGCGCCAACACTGCCCTCTGATCTTTCATTCCTGCCTCTAGGGCTGATTCGTCTTCCTGTGAGCTTGGCTCACTCCAGAACTGTCACGTCTGACCCCTCAAATCTAACCGTGCACTCCAGTCGTCCGGTCCTGAGACACATCTTCCTGACCACCACCACCTCTCACAAGCCTCTAAAGGAGCCCTCCACACACACTGCTCATCTCACCTAAGTGATGGCTGATGACCTGCAGCAGCTCCCAGCACACCCAAATCAGACAACTATGCCAATCCTGTTTTCTTGAGGGAGTCACCAAACTTGACAGTGCTGAAGCAACACCACCATGACCTGGAGCAATGATGCAACTTTTCTGTGAAGTAATTTTATCACCTGCAAAAATAAATAGTAATGCCAGCTCTCCAGTGAGGCCAGGAGACAATGCATGTGCTCATCATACTATACTGTCGTCACAAAACAATCAATATGACACAGAAGACAATTCTGCAGTTTACCCGAGCTGAAGGGTATCCTGCCATTGCTGTCAGCAAGTTCTCACTCCCCAATGACTCTCCAGCAGCAGCAACAATCTGCTGTCTAGTCTCGCCACTGCACTGAGCTAGCTTGTTACAATCGCCAAGGGTCTCCAGCTGCCAGTCCCATCAGACGTGTCTGGAGTTGACTTCACTTGACCAGACTGGAACACCTCCCTCCTTGGCTGCCAAGTAGTCACACTATGTGCTTACTACGTGCAGTCACACTGTGCTAACTGCTGGCTCACCCCATCTTCAGATATAAGTGAGGAGTACCAACAAGAACCCAAACCAGCGTCAGTTTATGTGATCAGAAAAAAGGTGCGATACTGAGTGCTTCAAGCTTCCTGAGAAAGAGCTCTCTAAACTAAGACCTGGACCACGACGGGGAGGCGACAAGATTAAGATTGGGGGGGGGGCAACGGATGGACGACTAAGAAATTTTGAGTGCAGGGAACAGCAGCTCCAAAGACTCAACAGGCCAAGAGGAAGGACACAGCGCATCTGATGCAGTATGTCTGTGGCAGGGCTTCTGAGAAAGGAAGACTCCAGAACTGAGCCTGGAAAGTTTCCCTGTGATGCCTTCTAGTTATTCCAGGTGCACTGGGGGAACTTAACTACTTTCTGTTTAAAAACATACTGGCATCCACCTTCTCTATCCCTAACCCTCTGCCCTAAACTCCAGGATCCATAATCCAAAAGTCTACTGGTGACATCCAACCACAACAGTCAGAGGCACAGCAAATTCAACAGGCCCCAAAGCCCAGGGACTCTCCCCGCAACCCTGCCCCAGCTGCTACTTCCCCACAGGGAGGGAACAGCTCAGAGCTGGCCTAGTTGTATGAGGGGTGCAAGACTGATCAGGTCCTGAAGGCCAGGTGTCATCTTTGGACAACCTGGAAGCCTGCTGGAGGAGGCTGACGAGACGCTGAGAAAGAAGAAATACAGTTCTCCGTCCGCCCTCGGCACCGTACCTTGGGCAAGCCCAGGTCTCACCAGCTCCCGGCTCCTCTGGAGCTGTCCTGCTCCAAGCTGGCCCTTCTTAGCGCCATCGAAGAGCCGGTGCCAGGATCCAGCTCACCACCAGGGCTGAGCGCCTTCTTAAAATGACGCTCAAGGGAGGGCCCGCCCCGCCCCGCCCCGCCCAGGGACGCAGACCCAGCCCCGGCGCGATGCACGGAGGCCCTCCCGGACCCTCTTCGTCTCGCTCGCCATCCCACACTTCACGGTCCTGCAATATTGGCTGGTTCTCAGTCCCTCCTCTCCATTCCTCTCTGCCCACGGAAACGCCGTCCCTCGCCGGCGACGTCCCCCCAGCCAACTAGTACTCATCCTTCAGTACCTCTTCCCAGACGCCCTTCCACTGCTCCCAACGCACACATTTGTCCCGTCTCCCTGGCGGTGCTTCTGCTCTGTAAAACTTTCGTTCTCCTGTCTGTCACTGCCTTCGGTATCCTTAAAGTCTCCAATGGCAAGAAGCACGCCGGCCGACCCCCACCCGGCAGCGCGTCC